ACTGCTCGAGAATTCGGATGTGTGTTCACGCGTGCATGTGCAGGTTCAGGTGGGCACATGGCGGTGTGGTACAACAATCGCAGCATACAGCGAAGCCAGCAGAGCCCACCTCCTGCTTAATCTTTGGGCGGAAGGCGTCTGGGTTCTTGTCGAGAGTCGACAGCACCGCAAGCTGTCGTCGACCCTCGTTCTGATGGGCGAAATCAATTCACCCCGCGCAGCAAACATGTGGATGTGGTGTGGGGGTGGGGGCGGAATTGATGGATGCGTGTTGTCAGTTCGGGCGTGATTGACATGCAAGCACGCAGAGAGATAAAGGAAGACAACGTACAGACAGATGAAGGAAGACACAGGGTACACACAGACACACACACAGACATACAGAGACACACACGCGCACGCACACACGCACGCACACGCACGCACACACACACATACACACACATACACACACATACACACACACACACACACACACACACACACACACACACACACACACACACACACACACACACACACACACACACACACACACACACCTCGAGGTTGTTCTGGCAGTTGGTGCACTTGCATTGGGGACCGCAGTACGTGCCGGCGGCGTAGCACTCGCAGTACAGCTTCAAGCACCGCGACTTGCCACAGTTACACTGGTGAATCAAGGATGAGAGCGAGGGAGTGGGCGGGGGGATGGGCGGTGGTGAGGTTTAGGCACGGTGTGATGGCAAAGCACAGGAAGGGCTCCAACACGGACACGTGGGCAGACAGAGAGATTGACGGAAAGGGATAGACAGGGAGCAGACAGACAGACACACACACACAGACACAGACAGACACAGACAGACACAGACAGACAGACAGACAGACAGACAGACAGCCAGCCAGCCACACACGAAACGTACCGAGCGCAGTGGAGGGCGGCCGACGGGCGTGACGCCGGCAGTGGTGGGACTCGCAGTGGCACTGGTGCGTAATGGTGATAATGGTGATGATAATGAAGATGGTGGTGGTAGTCATGGTGGTAGTCATGGAGAAGCAAACAGGAAACACAAAGCAGTAACGAGATGTGTGTGTGTGTGTGCACACGTGTGTGCATTATTGTGATTCATCCTCACCTGGTTTGATCGGACAGCAGCGCACGCTTTGCCCGTGGAGTTCCATTGCCTGCAGGCAAGAAGCAGCACACAGCCCAACATGATGGATGAGATGTGTGTGTGTGTGTGAACAAGCTAACACACGATTGTGTCTGATCACAACAACAATGACACACCACGCACGTGCACATGATAGCACAATCAATGATGACGGCCTTCATCGCCACTGCATGCTGGCTGTACCAGAGTAGGGTTGCGGTATCTGCTGTTGTTGCTGCGGCATCTGTGGCTGCTGCTGCTGCTGCTGTTGTTGTTGCGGCTGCTGTTGTTGCTGCACCTGTTGTTGTTGTTGCTGCTGCTGTTGTGTCGATGACGGTGGTGGCGAAGACTGTGCAGGCTGTGCGGGCTTATACAGCTGGCTCAGGCAAGCCCTTCTCATGCCGTTATGCATCACCTGTTGAAACAGCAGATGTTGCTGGCAGAAGAGAGCAGGCGTGTGTGTGTGAGTTTTATTTTGTGTGTGTGTGTGTGTGTGTGTGTGTGTGTGTGTGTGTGTGTGTGTGTGTGTGTGTGTGTGTGTGTGTGTGTGTGTGTGTGTGTGTGTGTGATGAGCAAAGCGAAGCCAAGTGCGGGAAAATAAACCTCGCCCCCCCCCACACACACATACATGCAGAGTGGACACTCACGGACGAAGGGCTGGAGGAGTTTGGCGTGTGCACAGCAGCAGCAGCAGCACGTGATTGCGGGCTTGTGACGTATGTAGATGTGCCTGAAGATTATGCAATGGTGTATGGTGCAGCGCGTGAGGCAACGGCAGCAAGCGGCAAGTGTTGGTGTTGATGTTGCTGTGCATCTGTGTGAGGTGACCAATCCTGGTTCATGAATACACAACCACAGTCCGCGCACTAGCGCCAACAAGCGACAGCATCCAACAGCAACAACACCCGCTCCAGCGCTCACAACAGCCACCTGGGCTCTGCAGGTAGACGGTGTGGCCAGATGTGGCTGGCGACGTCTGCTGCGCAAGCATGTTCTGTTGCAGCCGCGTTGGGCTGGCGAGGCTGATGGCCGTAGTATAGCTGTCTGCAGTGGCGGCAGGGATGCTGGTGACGCCGCCGTGTTGTTCAAGTTGGGGCTGCGGCGGCACGGAAGATGGGACGGACGTGGCCTGGCCTCCTGACAGCGCTGTCAGCAAGGCTGCTTGCATATCCGCAGCTGTTGGCTGCGACACAGCGGTGCCATCTGCTTGCATGCGCTGGTTGTACTGGGGGTGCTGTGATTGCATGCCTGGGTACAAGACTGGCAGTTGGGAGGAGCCGCCGACGTTCACCGCACCACCAGCGAGCACGGAGGACGACGATGATGGCGCAGATGAAGAGGCAGCATACATCATTGCAGCGAGGTCTGCACGGCTCATCTCATCTGCAGGATGCTGTTGCTGCTGGTGCTGCTGGTGCTGCTGTTGATAGGCGCCGTAAGGGACGGCACTGTCCATCATGGACAGCCTTGCCCTCGTCGCCGCCGCCACTGCTGTTGTGGCTGTTCCTTCTGCGCCTGCAATTGATGATGATGGCGGTGATGACACTGGCACTGCAGAGGTTGACGATGGTGGCAAGTAGATGGGTGCTGCTGTGGGCATCTGCTGTGCTGTTGCAGCAGCTGTTGTCCGTCTTGGCGGTGACGAGAAGGTCGGCAGCGTGGGACGCGGTCGACCACCAGGCCGCCCCTCTTGTTGCTGCTCATGTCCATCATGTGGCTGGTCCGACATTGTCTTGTGTGCTTGGGTGGTGTGTGCATTTGTGTGGTGTGTGTGGTGTGTGTGGTGTGTGGTGTGAGTGTGCATGTGGTATGTGTATTTGTATGCGCATGTGTGAGTTCGTGTATGTGGGGTGATTCGACAAAACCACACACACACACACACACACACACACACACACACACACACACACACACACACACACACACACACACACACACACACACACACACACACACACACACACACACGAACAACAGCGGTCAAAGAACACACAACAAGGGAATCGAATCAACCACGGCCAAAGGCCGATCAACAAACACAAACAGGCAATCAAATTCAACGGACCAAGAGGCCATCAAGTCACAACACTCACCCCCTTGCTTGCTGGCTTGCTTTGCGTGGTTGGTTGGTGGGTTGACCGACTGGTCAAGAAGTGTCTGTGTGGCAAGTGGTTGGATGATGATGGTTAAATTGAAAGGGCGGCGCGCGTTCTCCGGCACAATTTTTGAATTGTGGGTCGACATAAATTCGCATCAAATCGGCATTACGCTACTGTTTATCATGTTCCCAAAGCAAGCCCGCGAGCGAGGGGAGGCGAGCGAGCCACATCACGAGCCACATCATTCCATGTCAATCAACACATCCCTCACCGTCCATCTTCATCATCATCATCATCATCATCACTCTCGCCCCATCAGCCTGATCTCCACACCATCACAACCACACACGCACACAACGACGGCCGACCTCGCATCACCAAACACTGAAACCCAACACAGCCCTCCAAACACACACACACACACACACACACACGCACGCAAAGAGCCAAAGTAGTTTCTTGGCAAGCAAGGCTGGTTAGTCGAACTTGGTCTTCTCCAGGAACTCCTCAAGGGCAGCCTTGTTCACCTCGGGCAACTGCACAAAGTCGCTGTTGTCAACCAACGCCGCAGCACCCAACCTGCAACAACAAGGGAGGGGCAAAGGAGAGTGTTTTGGATGGAGGGGAGCGAGGAAGAAAAACGCGAGAGAGGGAGTGAGGCAACGAGTGAGGCAACGAGGGCAAGGTGGTCACTGTCTCATGCAAGCAGCAGAGTAGAAGCAATGGGCGGTGGTCTATGCAATCTACATCACCAGTATGGCAACGCATCTTTACCTGTCGTTGTACTTGATGCAGAGGTCGGCAACCTTTGCTGCGTACGCCTCCAAGTTGGTGCTGTCAGCACCGTCCTCCTGCAGGTCCATCATCTGCACACGATGGTGTGTGTGTGTGTGTGTGTTTGTGTGTTGTTGTGTGTGTGTGTGTGTGTGTGTTGTGTGTGTGTGTGTGTGTGTGTGTGTGTGTGTGTGTGTGTGAGAAGAAAGCGCAGGATGGGTTGTTTGGGCAAGGGCAAAAGCAGCGGTTCAAGCCGGGTTCAGTTGCATAGGACGAGTACCTACGCAAGCCCATGCTCACCGGTCGCTACCACCACCACCAACACTTTCAACCGACAAACGACAGCACACGAACACCACCACCACTACCACTGACACAACAACAACAACAACTTAAACAACGCAAACACCAACGCTGCAATGCGTACCTCCCGACGCAGAGCAATGCGCTCCTTGCGTTCTTCTGTGGAGAAACGGTCAAACTCGTCCGTGTCATCCCGAGCATGGCGTTGGTACCTGTTGGAAAAAGGAAACGGGGAAACAAAAGGCAGGGAGCAGGAAGATGGTCACGTGAGTTGGGGTGAGAATTGATTGAGGCCAGCACGTGCATTGACTACTGCCCACAGGTCACATTGCTTTGTCAATTTGTGCTTTGTAATGCCACCATGCCAGGTGACACAGCCTGCCAACAGCAAAACAAGAACAAGCAAGAACAAGAACAAGAACAAGAACAAGAAGAACAAGACAAACCACGCCGACACAGAAGAAGCACACCACACTTGACGACACTACACGAGGACACGTACGGCAGGACCAAAGCAACACGTCAGGAATGAACGAACCAAGGCTTGGGTGGGCTGGTGTCATACTCTTGTGTCTGGCCAAAGCCAAACCAAGTGCGTCGCTGGGTCAGCACGCGAGCCGCGCTTAGCACTGGACATTTTGGGTGATGTACATGAATGGTGGTGAGATGAACATGGTGAGAACAATAGCATGAGTGAAGAGGAGAACAGCACATACCGACAAGTGAACGCACACTCGAGCAAACGACACACAAATGCGCAACACACAACGCGCACGCGTACAATGGGTGTTGTGGTTCCTCTTCCTTTCACCACAACGAACCACAACAAACGTGGCCACAACCCCCCCCCCACACACACATACACAACACACACTCCACATCTTCGTCTTCGTCGCTCACCCCTCGTTCTCGCCACCAGTGCCTGCATGCCGACAGTTGTGAAAAATACACATAAAACCCGTACACAATTTTTTATTCTGCAATAATTGTTGTTGGTTTGGTTTGGTGTTTGGCGAAGCGATGAAGCCTCCCAGCAGCTCTCTGTCTCTCTCTCTCTCTCATCACATGCACACACACGCACACGCACGCACACATACACGCACACACACACACACACATAGACGCACACATTCTCTCACTCATGCTAAAGGTGGTTATGTTGTGCTTGTATTTACACAGGCACAGACAGGTGCACAGTCTCAGTTACATGTCAGCCATATCCATGCGATCGACATCGCGCGGCTCCTCGTGCTCGCCATATTGCAGGCACATGTCCACATGGAGCACAAGATCCGTGATCATCTCCTCGTCATCCTGTAAGGTAAGCAGCATCAGTGAGACTCAGTCGCCTGTGCAAATAGCAAGGAGCAGGGGGGGACTAAGAGAACAAGAGCACAGCACACACACGCACACAGCACACAAACACACACACACACACACGGCACACACGCTGACGGCACACAAACACACACACACACACACTCACACACACACACACACACGCACACACACACACACACACAAAACCTTGTCAAGCGGGTAGAACTGCAACAGACCAAACTCTTCAATCTGCAACAAATGCGTGAAACCATGTTGTGAGGGTGCCACGGTACACCACGGCAAGTTCGCGCAACCAAACACTGTGCACAAACACAAGCACATGCACGCAGCGGTGTACCAGCTCGGCCAAGCGAAGATTCAACCGCCTTCGCTTGTCGTCAGCGGTTCTGTTCAGCTCATCCAACAATACATGCGTATCTGCGTTCATGTAGCTGCAGTGCGCGCAAGCGTGCGCGTGTGTGTGAGGGGGGGGGGGGACGGCAAGAAGTATTGAATGTGCATAGTGCGCACGTTTGTGTGTGTGTGTGTGTGTGTGTGTGTGTGTGTGTGTGTGTGTGTGTGTGTGTGTGTGTGTGTGTGTGTGTGTGTGTGTGTGTGTGTGTGTGTGCGCATACGCGTGGGCAGGTAAGTAGTACCTCTCGATCAGCGGCCGCACTTCCTTTGGAACAAGATCCATCTTGCTCATCACGTTCACGTGTGGCAGCTGGCACGCAATCGCAATGTGTACGTATGCATATGTCAACACATGGTGTAGAACTCCGTTACAGAGTAGCGGGGACAGCAGGCAGGTTCTAGTCCAACAATGAGAATTCACAAAACCACACAGACAGACACAGACAGACACACACAGACACACACACACGCATACAACACACACACAGACACATACAACACACACACACACACACACACACACACACACACACACACACACACACACACCTCGAGTTGGAGCATTGCGGAGAGGGCGGCGATGGCGCCGCTGAAGAACTTGGCCGGATCGCCTGTGGTGGTGACGGTAATGGCAGTGGTGGCGATGCTTGGTTATGATGGTTGGAGGAGGCACGTGTCGTGTAGCCAGGCAGGCAAGGAAGCACACGGATTGGCAAATGGGGGAACACGATTTGGAGCACAAACCATTGCACAGACAAGCACAGGCACAGCCACAGACACAAGTACAAGCATAGCCACACTGATGCCCAACGTACACATGAACTGCGAGTCGAGGAGGTAGACGACAACAAGGCGAAAGCCGAGTGTCTGGAGATGGTTCGTGAGGCGCGTCATGAGCGGCATGTGCGTGTACAGCTCAATCTGCCCAGGGCAATCGATGAGCAGATAGTCGTCCTCAAAGTCGCCCAGCTTCTCCCCAAAGTCCTGCAGAGGCGTGTATGCATGTGTGTCAACCACGTGAGTGCAACCCGCGTTTGCGGCACGTGTGCACAAGACAAGAAGAAAGACGCAGCCTTTGCACCACGTACACATATGCAACACGCACACACACACACACACGCACACGCACTTCCAAGTTCTTGAGGATGTACTCCATGCAGAAGATGAGAGCGCCGTTCGGGCCCAAGTTCATGTACTAACAGCGGCACAATGCAAAGTGGTGTTAGGAAGGGATGGAGACAGCAGGCGAGAAAAAGGAGGGGGAGAGGAAGTCAATACGGTCAGACATACAGACACACAATCAAGCAAACGCGCAGATACAGACACACAGACAGGCAGGCAGGCAGACACGCACACACACGCACGCACGCACGCACGCACGCGCACACACACAAACACACACGGACACACACACACACACACACACACACACACACACACACACACACACACACACA